AAAAAAAAAAAATCTGTGGGATGTAGCTTAAGCAGTATATCCCCAGAATGCAAAGGTGACTCAACATTCAAAAATCAGTGTAATTCATGACGTTAACAGAATGAGGAAAAGTTTAAGATCATCACAATAGATAAAGAGAAAGCACTTGATAAAATTCAACTCTGTTCATGGTTGCAAACTAGGAATAGAAGGGAACTTTCACAGTTTGATGAAGGGCATCTATTAAAACCTATAGCTAATTATATACTTAATGGTGAAATATTGAACACTTTCAAAGATCAGTCACAAGGCAACAATGTCCACTTTCACTGCTTCTATTCAATATTGCACCAGAGACCCACATCAGTGCAATAAGAAAAAGAAATAAAAGCCTTTAAAATTGGAAAAGACAAAGTAATACTGTCTCTGCTGACATATAATATGATTTTCTACCTAGAGAATCCTAAGGAATCTACAACAACAAAAACAAACCCTACAAAACTGCTAGAATAAATAAGTGAATTTAATTTAGCAGGGTTGGGGCGCCTGGGTGGCTCAGTCGGTTAAGCATCTGCCTTTGGCTCTGGTCATGATCCCGGGGTCCTGGGATCGAGCCCCGTGTAGGGCTTCCCTGTTCAGCGGAGAGTCTGCTATTCTCCCTCTGCCTCTCCCCTCCACTTGTGTGCTCTCTCTCTTTCTCAAATAAATAAAATCTTTAAAAAAAATTTAGCAGCATCATAGGATACATAGTCAATCTATTGAAATCGTTAGTGTTTCTATATCCTAGTAACGAGCAAAAATTTTAAATATAGTTAAAATATCATCTGAAAGCTTAAAATATTTAGGAATAAACTTAATTAGAGATGTACACTGAAAATTACTAAATATTGCTGAGATAAAGGAAACTTAAATTAATGGAGAGATATACCATGTTCATGGGTCAGAGGAGTCAATATCATTAAGGTGCTCATTCTTCCCAAATTGATCTATAGATTCAATGCAATGCCAATCTAAATCTGAGCAGACTTTTTTTTTTTTGTAGAAAATGACAGGATTGATAAACTCATTCTGAGACTTACGGAAATGCAAAAGGCCTAGAAGAGCCAAAACGACTTTGAAAAAGGAGAACAAAGTAGAAGGGCTTATACTAGTTATTTCAAGGCTTCCTATACAGCTATAGTAATCAAGAGAGTAGGGTACTGGTATAAGGACATGGATACAAACAGACTAATGGAACAGAATAGAGAATCTGATATATGAACATATATGGTCAATTGGTTTTCAACAATTGTGCCAAGATAATTCAAAAGGGGAAAGGATAGTCCTTTCAAGGAATGGAGTTGAAACAACTACATATCTGTGTGGGCGAAAGGGAACCGTAAATCCTACCCCATGACATACACAAAAATTAATTATAAACCAATTCAAGACCTAAATGTAAAAGCTAAAACTATAAAACTTTACAAAAAAATGTTAGAGAAAAATCTGTGTGACCTTGGCTAGATGAAATGATTTCTTAAATAGGACACAAAAATTGGATTTTAGGAAAATTAAAAACCTATGCCCTTCAAAAGACACTGTTAAGAAAATGAAAAATGGGCCATACACAGAAATATGATACACATATCTGACAAAGGACCTGCCCAGAATACATAAAAAAGCTCTTACAACTCAATAAGAAAACAAACTCCATTTTTTAAAAAATGGATAAAAGAATAGATACTTCACAAAGGTAAGATTTGTGAGTGGCCAATAGCACATGTTGCAGTATTATTCTGCAGAGTCAAAACATGGAAACAACCTAAATGCCCATCAGTGTGTCAGTGGATCTACAATTCTGGTATTTTTATACTGGAATACTACTATTCCAATAAAATGCAACACACTGATGCACACAAAACATGGGTGAATCCCAGAATCATGCTGAGTAAGAGAAGCCAGACGTGGCAAACTACATACTATATGATTCCCTTTATATGAAGCTTTAGAACAGGCAAAGCTATGGGGCTCCTGGGTGGCTCAGCATCCAACTCTTGGTTTCGGCCCGGGTCGTTGTCTCGGGGTCATGGGATTGAGCCCTGCTCAGGCTCTGGGCTCGGCTTGGCGTAGAGTCGGCTTGGGATTCTCCCTCTCCCTCTGCCCCAACCCCTGCTCGTGCTCACTCTCTAAAATAAGTAAAACCTTAAAAAAAAAAAAAAAAAAAGAACAGGCAAAGCTAATCGATAGTGATAGAAATCAGATCAGATGGAAGTTCCTGGGACAATGTGGTAGGGGGACTGACTGCAAAGGATCATGAGGTAACTTTCTGAGATGATGAAAATGTTCTAAATATCATTGGGGTAGCAGTTACATAGGTGTATACATTCGTCAAAACTCACTGAACTATACATTTAAAATGTGTACATTTTATTTTATATAAATCATATCTTAACATTGACTTTACAGAAAAGCACATGTGCTAACTCCTCCCTCTGCGTGTGATGGTTGCACTTTCCCCCTCTTGTGGTCAGATCAGGTTTCCATCCATCGCAGCTTCCAAACCTTCCTACCGTTAACGAATAATTGGTCACAGAAGTGGGATTTGCGGGGAGAAGAAAGAAGAAATTACTTATGTGTAGGGAGAGTGTGGGGGAGAGAGATCAATTTACTCAGACATGACCGAGTCCCAACGCATCTGGCGTTGTACAAAATTCCTTTAGAACACTGTGTGCGCCAGAAGTAAAGCCAGTGATGCAGGGACAGGAAGAAGAGAGTGACAGTCATGTGCACCCCTGCATGTCCTCACTGTTGGTCTTCATGTCCCACAGACCCAGAGAAGAGCTGCCAGCCAGTGTTGGAGACTCTGCGCCAGGCCATAGATGGCACGGTGTACGCCCACAGCACCTTGGAATTGCAGACGCTGCAGCCTGTGGTCAACTTCCTGGCCACGGCCACAGTACCAGGCTTCTGTGAGCGCCCACTGTGCCCACGCCTCTTTCGACTCTTCACAGTGCTGGCCCTGGGGAGCGTGACCCAGGCCATGCTGCTGAGCAGGCACACACCGAGCATCCAGGCCTGGCTTGAGCGCTTTCCCTCTGTGGAACGGGAGGGGCTTCTAGCAAAAGCCTTGGTCCGGGCCTCGGTGGAGGCCTGGGAGGCCGTGGGCAACTGCTTTCTGCCTTCCCCCCTCCACCCACATTACCGCTTCTCCCTGCACTCTGTGAGCCAACTACTGGGCAGCTTACAGCTGCTGCCCACCAGGATGGGCTCCCGGGGCTTTCTGGACTGTCCCAGCCATCAGGAGCACTTGCGCCGGGTGTCAGGCTTGCGTGGCACCCGCCTGACGATTATGGTGGCCATGCGCAACATGGTGCGTCTCTGGTTGCACGAGGCCCAGAGAACCTTTTGTGACCGGCTGGACAGCCCTAGGGAACGCTCTCACTGCGCCAAGCTGCTCCTAGAAGTAGCTCAGAGTGTGTTCTGCTGTGGGCCAGCACCCCAGAATGGGGCCAAGGGCTCTGAGGAGGAGGAGGAGGAGGAAGAGGAGGAGGAGGAGAGGGTGCCTGAAGTGGAATCCGAAGGGGAGCTGGCCCAGTGGGAGGACTTAAGCAACAGCGACAGTGAGACAGAGGAGGAGGAGGACCCTTATGGCCTGCAGGTCACCACCAGCTCACCCTCCTGTGATTCGGGTCTAGCACCTTCCATAGCACCAGTAAGGAGGGAGACCATAGAAAGCCTAAGTCCGCAGATAAGCCAGGAGGAGGGCACAAAGGCTTCTGGCTACAGACTCCAGTTAAACAGAAGCAAGAATAGGTGGCAGAAAACCTCCCGGATGGACATGGCCTCACCCCTTCTGCTACCAGTGCTACTACTCCGCCCCCAGGAAAAGCCCTCAGACCTGGTGTTCAGTCAGGAGCTGATCCTGGGGTCCAACTCTGAGAGCCCCAGCTTGTACCTGGAACGGCAGTGGGAGAGCCTGGAGGAGCAGCTGTCCACTGCAGCTGCTCAGTTGAAGCTGAGCGCCCACCTTGCCCGGTGCCACTCCATGGCCAAGCACGTGGCCCGCCTGGTCCGGGTGCTGGCCAGGCCCCGGCAGCACGGCCTGTTGTTCTCAAGGGCTCTGGGTACTGGGCGCCGTACGGCCATCACTCTGGCAGCTAGCATCTGCCAGGCCCGCCTCTTCCATCTGCCGTCTGGCGCAGAGGACGCCGTCCTCCAGTGCCTACGGGAGGCCAGTTGGCATGCTGGCGTGTTAGGCCAGCCGGTGGCCCTGCTGGTGCCCAAGGGTGTGGATCTTACCACCCTTCATCGTCTGCTGGCCCTGGCAACCTTGGGCAGTTTCCCTGACCAGTATACAGAGGCAGATCTGGACAGCATTGAAGAACATCTCCCCAGGGAGAACCTTAGTGTCAAGCAGAACAGCAAGAAGGAAACGCTGTTGCAGAGGTGAGGCCAGGAACCCCATGGGAGGGGCTGCTCTGCTCTCGCTCTACACTGGCCAAAAGGCCAAAAAGAAATCTAAGAGCTGCTGTGAGGGCTCAGAAGATGAGGGCTAAGGGGTCAGGTTTGGGACTGGGGCCTAGATGGGCAAACAGGGATAAAGGGGAGGATGGTATCTGAGCCCCTGGCCCGCAGGTTCTATCAGCAAGTCTGCAACCACCTGCATATGTTCATCCTGCTTGGAGATGACCAGACCCACAGACAGCTGCCCTCCACCCTTTTCCTGAGGCTTCTTCAACTGGCCATTGCTAGCATTGACCGCTATGAACCCTGGGACCAAGACTCCCTGATCAGTGTGGTCCGGTACTACCTGGAAAGCGCTCAGAATCTATCCATTGATGATGGTGAGCCCTTTCTACCTGTTCTCACTACTCCTCTCAACCAGGTGTTAGTGAGGACTCAGGTCAGTCTCTCTCTCTCTCTATATATATATCTCTCTCTCCCTAGAACCTAGTGATCCCCTTCACCTTTTCTGCCTTCCTTCCTGAATCAAAAGAGGGTCCCTTTTCTTTCCCATTCTCCTATAAACTCACAAGCTAAATTCATGCCCATTTCAGACTCCTTGAAGTGCCCAGACCTCCGGGCGTCAATTCCCAGGGTGGCCAAAGCCATGGCTCTCATTCACCTTTCGGCTGTCAGCTACTATGGACACCTATGCCCTGAGTTACCACTCGTGACCCCCAAGACTTTCCTAGACTTTCTGGACGCCTTCATGCTGCTGCAGCAACAGATGACTCTGCAGATTAAGAACAAGTTCCAGCGGTGAGTGCTCCCATTTCCTGCGCTGTACCTCCTTCTGCTTCCTTGGGCCCACTTTATTGGTACATCGTATCTCCAGGATCCAGAATGCCTTAGAAAATTTGAGAATGCTGATCGAGAAGCACAATGCCTACACCAACTTTGTCTTCAACTTGGAAGAGCTGCTAAAAGGCTCCCGCAAGGTAAAGGGGGAGAAGATTATGAGGTATGCACAGTAGGGCAAAGCAGGAGCCCCCAGGGGGCTTTGGAGGAACCAACCAGAGTGAACCTTAGCTCTTATCTCCTGAGAGTACCCCTTTCCCCAGGGGATCTCTTTAATCCCTGCTGCCTCCTCCTCTAGAGTTCAGGCTCAAAGTTCCCCATGGCACAGCTGAGACCAGGCTGATTCTTCTAAACACAGGAAACCCCAGTGTCTGCTTCTGCTGTCCTTAGTATGTACTTTGACTATGGGAAGTCCAGTATACTGTCCAAGATCTGAATAGATTCCCATCAGGGATGAGGCAGAGATTACATTCTCACGGTTGCCTCTACTCTTACCCCTTCTTCTGGATTCTCTATCCTGGCCCATTGGCACACCTCTTATGGCCATCCTCCTTTCCCACACAGCTTTGTCCCTGTACCCTCTTCCTTCCACAAAAGCACCAACTACACAAGGCTCACATGCACACTGGGGAAATGTGGATGGGTGATGGCAGCAGAGCAATTTACATTTTTAGACCAGAACCAGAAAGAGATTGGAATGGTACACTAGACCTCACTGTCCTGAACTTCTTTAGTCACCCTCCTCTACAGGGTATCTCCCAGTCACCAGCTCTTCTCCTCACCTCTCCCGGTGCCCACTCCACAGTGTTATTCAGTGCTCCACCTTTCCTTTAGAGCTCGTCCAATATAATTCTCATGTAACAAGAGAGAATTTTTCTAGTCCAAATCTAAATCCCATTTTTTTTTAAAGATTTTATTTATTTATTTGAGAGAGAGAGAATGAGAGAGAGAGCACATGAGAGGGGGGAGGGTCAGAGGGAGAAGTGGACTCCCTGCCGAGCAGGGAGCCCGATGTGGGACTCGATCCAGGGACTCCAGGATCATGACCTGAGCCGAAGTCAGTCGCTTAACCAACTGAGCCACCCAGGCGCCCAATCCCATTTTGTTTTTAATAAGAGGAATTCTGAAATAGCTTTTTTTTTTTTTCTTCCTGCTACACAAGGCTTTGGTGAAGGTTCAGGGATAACTTCCAGAGAAGTAAACTAGTGGTCAACCCACACAGACAAATGCTTCCCCTCTACTGGGCTCTCAGGCCATAAGCTCCCAATGCCTAGCCTGTCTCTTTTGATGGGTGCCTCAGAGCCATCACCCAGTGCTGCACAACTCTAGTAGGAGTATGTATTCCATTGTATCTACATGCATGGTTGTCATCGTGTTCTCTGTAAACGATGCTCCCTAGAGTTCTCACAGTACTGGTGCCCTCCTACCATCCACCACCAAGGATCACTAGCTTAGATGAAACCTCAAGACTCACTGAGATTAAAAAAAAAAAAAAGTTCACAGAGGGACAGGAATGGCCTCCCGCATGTTTTCCAAATTCCAGTTTCTTGTCTTGGGTCCTACCATTTCCCAAGATTATTAATACCAGGAATTATTAATCTGGTTTAAAGGTGCTATTATTCTTTGATCCCTGGGTCAGTTATATCCAAGGACAACATAAGAAGCCCAAAATCTGGATAAGAGATGTTCATAGTGGAGGCGCCTGGTTGGCTCAGTCTGAAGAGCATGCAACTCTTGATCTCAGGGTTGTGAGTTCAAGCCCTGTGTTGGGTGTAGAGATTACTTAAAAATAAAGTCTTAAGAAAAGAGAGAGCGAGCGAGAGAGAGATGTTCATAGTGTCAGAGGCATTCAGTGTCAGATCCCTTGGCCATTCATTCAACAACCATAATAGTGTGTACTTCTTTCAGAGTTCCCCACCCCAGGAAACGGCATCACCATCCACTTAGTTAAGCCAAATCCCAGGAGTCATTCTGGAGCCCTTCGTCTCTATTCTCTCTCATATTCAGCTGGTTCATTATTCATTACTGTACTCTACAAAAATTAATTGAACTCCACTCTTCTTGTCCACCCACTTATTAATACTTATGTCCGTGTCTACATCTATGTCTACATCTAGATCTAGGTCAATAGAATCCTTGCTACAACTTTTTGAGGTGGCTATCCTTTTTCCCATTTTACAGATGAGAAAACTAAGATCCAGAGAGGTTAGGATAGGGATTAAATGAGATCGCACATGGACAGCATTTGAATGTCCTGGCACATAGTAAGAGCTCAATAAATGATAGCTCCTCCTAATAAGAAAGATAAGGTACCATCCTTGCCTTCATGGTACCTAGTTTACTGGAACATATAGACTCATCCAGGCAATTACAAGACAGTGTGCTATGACAGAGAAAGTCCATGGTGCTCTGAAGTATCAAGACTTTTCTAGAGAAAGCAAAGTGCCACAATGAGTTATGTGTAGAACATGGCAAGCACTGAAAACATTCCTTAAATATGGAAACAAATGAATGAAGTGCACAACGTTGATACCTGGAGGTTAGCTAAGATCTGGGTGGGGAGGATGTCACAGGCTGAAGGAAAAGCATGGGCAGATGCCCAGAGGCGAGAGAACGCATGCCACGTTGGAGGAGCTGAAAGTCAGGAATGGCTGGAGAGTGGGGTGCTGGGGGAGGAGAGACATGAGGTCGGAAAGTGGAGTCGAGGCCTCCTGGGCACAGAGGCCTCATAAACCAACTGGGAGAGTGGGGAGTGTTCGGGAATGTGAGGATGATGGTCTTTGGCTGCAGCAAGGAGAGCGGAGTAGAGCAGAAACTGAGACAGCAGTGAGGAAGCACGGGCCCAGGCAGGGGAGCACACAGGACAGACAGGTAGGAGGCAGACCTGAACAGCCTTAAAGACGGGCTGGGGTCAGGGGAATAGAAGAGATGGAGTCAGGGGAACAATGAGGTTTTCTTCCTTAGGAAACTTGGGTGTGTTTTGCCACAGTTCTCTGAGAAAAAGAACAGGTGAGGAGGCAAATAAGATTGCAAGAGACCTGATGGGGCGTAGCCAAGACATTGTTCCTTTGGGGACATGTGGAGTCCGGGCAGCATGCAAGGCATCCAAGAGGAGACTGCCACTAGGCAGATGGATATGTGGATGTGGGGCTCAGGAAAAAATCGGGCTTGAGACAGCGATTTGAGAGTTGTTAAAATAGAAGTGGTAATCAAAGCCATGAGATTAGGGAGGACACATAGAAGTGTAGAATGAGAAGATACAGAGGCCCTGAAACATTGCTGAGGAATATTTAAGGGATGGTAGAGGAAGAGACTGAGAAAGAGCAACCAAAGAAGCTGAAGAAAGCCAAAGGATACCATGGGGTCATGAAAGTCAAAGGAAGACAATGCTTCAAGAGCGAGGGAACTGTCTTCTGTGACAAATGCCGCTAATGGGTCAAGTAAGATGAAGAGTGTAGCATAAGCACATAGGCTTTGGAGTCAGACTGCCGGGGCCTGTGTGGCAGATCAGGAGAAGCAATCACCCACTTGGAGCTGCGTTACCAGGTGTGTGACTCACACACCAGTAAGAGACAGTTTCAGGGCTCAGTCCAGGGCTCTGGGCCTATATGGAGTTCAACTTGGTCATCTTGACTATCAAGCGAGGAGTATGCTGGAGTCCCAAGCCCACGGGGCTCCCTCTGGGGTATTCCCAACTGGCCCAGGATCTGGAGCTGCAGAGTCTGGATCTCTGTTTGCAGACCGTCAGCATACATCAGCAGCAGCTAGAGAAGGGCAAGCTGCTGTTCAAGCAGCAGCTAGGAGAGTGTCAGCAGCAGGAGAACCTCATCGGGAACCTGACCAAGCAGCGGGATGCCCTGCAGGCTCAGCATGAGGCTTTCCTGGAGCAGGTGGGTTTTCCTGCTGCCTGCCCTGCACTGGTCCTCTCTTGGGAGGGGACAGCCTTTCACAGGATGCCCAGAGGAGAGAATAGGGTGACTTGTCATGGAGTCTTTGGGGTGAGGGGCAAAGGTAATAGGATGGCTTGAGGAACTGTCCCTCATGGGAACCCCTAGGAAGAAATGATCCCTCCTGGCAGCACCTTGAAGGAAGAGGACACTCTGGGAACTCACTTCAGGGGTGCATCTCTCCTCATTTAGATGGGCAAGGCCTTCCTGGGACCTCTGAGCCAGCTGCAGGTGGCTGACTTTGAGGAGATACGGAGCTATCGAGCGCCACCAGAATCGGTGGTCCAGGTGACCGATGCACTGTGCGACCTGTTCCACTGTGAAAGAGGCTGGGCCAGTGCCAAGCAACTCTTAGGCACCGAGGATTTTTATCAGGTAGGAATGTGGAGCACAATGGAGGAGGAGAGTGGAGGCCTAAGGGGGGGGGCGGTACCTGGCAGAGTGAGGCAGTTGAGGCAAAGTCCAGAGCACCTATGTCTGCCCCTACCCCTCTTAACACACTTTCCCAGGAGCTGGTGTTCTTCCCCAAGGAGAAGATGACGGACTCAGAGATGATAAAGTTAACCCAAGCTCTGAAGGCTCCAGGTATGAGTGACGCAGCTCTGCGGGCAGTAAGCATACCCGCAGCAAACCTGGCCGCCTGGCTCTGGGCTGTTCTGCGCTATGGGCTGGCCCAGCGCCGAGGACTGCCCACGGGCCTACTGCTGCGGCAGATCGAGGCCACGCTGGCTCGGGAGCAGGCCCGCCTGGGCCACTGCCAGTTTCAGGCCCAGGAGACCCTAGAGCACAATTTGGATCTGGCCAAGACGCTGGAAGAGGCCCGGGCTTCGAACAACCGTATGATAGAG